AATCCACTGAGGCAGCAGAGGAGAAAGGGCTTGAGCGGACAAATCCTGCAGGTCAGCAACTGATTGCATAGCTGGTGTCAACAACAGGGGCTCAACTTTTATGATCATGGAGCCTGCTCTGAGGATTGAGGATGGTTAGGAAATGATGGGATTAACCTAATCAAGTGGGGCAAAAGAAAAATAGAAATTTCCACAGACTGGCCAACCTGGTGAGGGAGTTTTAAACCAGGAACAACAAGGGAGGGAGATGATGACCCAGAATCAAGTGAGGAAGGTGGTAGACTGGGCTGGCAAGAAAAGAGTTCAGGGTGATGTGGACAGGAGAGATGTTCTAATCAACAAAACCTAGTAGTAGGAGACCCCCCTAAGTGTATGTATGTACATAAATACGGAAGCGCCTACAGGACAGCATGGGGGAAGCACCATACATTTTCTGGGAAATCAGCACAACTGGGCACTCTCTGTAACCAGCAACGCTCCCTTGCTGTCAAAGACGGCCAAGAGCCTCCTGGGCTGCATTAGGAAAAGCATCACCAGCAGCCAGAGGTAGGTGATCCTTCCTCACTGCTCAGCCATGCTGAGGCAAATCTGGAATGCTGCATCCAGTTCTGAGCTCCCCAGCACAAGATAGGTATGTACATACTGGAGTGAGTCCAGTGAAGGGCCACAAAGAGGATTAATGGGCTGGAGCATCTCCCATACAAGGAGACGTCGAGAAGACTTGGATCTGATCAATGTATATAAATACCTGATGGTGGGGGCAAGTAAAGAACACAGAGATTCTTCTCAATCACAGGACAAGAAGTTGTCAAGTCTCAATCCTTAGAGATACGGAAAACCCAACAAGATATGGTCCTGAGCAACCTGCTATAGGTGGCCCTGCTCTGAGCAGGAGCATTGAACTAGATGATCTCCAGATGGCCCACCCAACTGCAGCCATTCTGTTGTTCTGTGACCAACTGTAGATGAAAACCACTTTAAACTAGATTTTTGGTTATGATTTTTTTTTTAATTTATAAATGTGCTACACTGTATTTATCGCAAATATTTGTCAATGATGACTTTTAAATCTTGGATTTACCTTAAACCTTTTGAATACATTTGAGCCAGCTGTCGATCCAAACCTCTGTTCTAATAAGCTTATATCAAAAAAGAAACAAAGGGCACTTAATATTACACTCCAGGAACAGCAGCATGTAATACCACCCATCGACCATAGTCTATAAAGTTCTTCAGGGTATGTCATTTGAAAGCCAGTGTTCAGGGAGAAATGGGATGAGTAAAAGCTGTTGCTGCCTCTGAGTTACTTTGCTACCACCATTAGTAATAAAGGCTCATGAACAAGTCGATTTAATAAAAAACCGCACACAGAAAACAACAGCACAAGCCTTGTATCTTTAGTTTCTCTCTTTCTGAAGCTCTCACCTTCATGCCCACCCACCACTCGATTTGTGTGATGGTACAAGCCTAATTGTTGTGATCAAAACAGCCATTTTTTAAAGCAAAATGCTATTTAACATCATGAGTACTGACAAAGAACAACAAATAACCTAGGCATTTCTCTTCATCTGCAGGCCTTGCATTTGATACTGTGTTTTAGTTTACTTGTGGTAGTCTCTGCTTTTCTCTTTGCCCCCTGTTCTTTAGAGATTGCTGCTTTGTTCTAGAGCTATGGAGACTAATTTTTTTCAGATTTTCTTTTTTTCCCTGCTTACTTTTCCCCTAACCTTTTCCACAATCTCCAGAGTTACAGGTTAAATGCAGGATGGTCTGAAGTAAAATTTCACTGCTGATAACAATTTCCTCATCTTTTAATTATTGGTAAAGCACAGCATTGTAGAAAAGAGGAAATCCTCAGTTAGTTAAGTAGCCCTCCAACATCTGTCTGGCAGTATTTAAAGCATCCCAATGGATACTCTCGGTTTGGTCTTAGAACCTTGGAGATGGAGCTTTCCTGACACCCCGCTTCCTTATAGCTGTTTTAGTGCATCACTTTACATAGGAGTAGAAAGTGTTTATCAGTGTCTATTAGTAGAACTAATGTATATAGAACACATTAATGTATATAAACATCATCTCTTGTCTTGAAGACAGGCACCACCTATGCATAAAGCCTGCAATAATATTCTAATGGATAGAATATTAAAAAAATGTTAAAATATTTTGACAATTCTTCAGTGCTTCAGAAATAGCACAGGATATAATGGTTCTGGTCTGTCTTTTATCTGTTCCCAGTCTTCCTGAATTTCCTCTCTGGTTTGGCTTTATTTTAACATCTCTCATTCGGTGTGTGAATTAGCCACCACTTTTGTTTCAGAGCTAGCTCAAGGAGCAACCAAAGGAGACATCAGAAAAGATTAGTAAACCTCAGAGGATGGTGTGCTGGTAACGTTGTCAGCACTGGAAGAGGTTGGAATTGCCTGTTTGAGCCTCAGGCTCAGTCGTAGTTGTTGTTTTGTTGCTCTAGAGGAGAGAGGTGTGCTGGATGAAAACTGCTGCTGTCTGTGGGCAACCACTTTTTTCAGGCTGTTTTTGGCAAGTGATGATGCCCACTGGAGTAACTCAACGGGTGGATTCTGTGACCAGGTATAAATATAACCCCGCAGCTCAGGGGAGGAAAAGGGAGCCTTGCTCTTAGGGGTCCCTTCTGCTCCTGCTCCTTTTCCTCCCTCAAAATTACATTTGGAACTGATATTTCAGTTTTATTTCTTATTTGGCAAATGTCTGTTTCAAGAAACTCTTGAAAGGAAAAAAAACTTGATTCCATGTTGCCTTATGCTAATTCCAGTCCAGTACTTCTCCAATGGCCCAGCTGTGAGTGATTCTCAGGCTGTGATTCATGCATTGACACTAATGGCACATATTTTAAAGTAGCCAAAAATACTGTATTTGTTTAAACAACAAGAAATAATTGCTAGAACAGTGTTGTAAATCAACTGAAAAAGATTTTAGTGAACTACCCCTCAGCCCCAAAAAAGAAGGAAAAAAAAAAGAAAGCAAGCAAAATTAATACTTGAAGGTAACTTTCTGAAAAATATACATGCTCTCATTTTAGGTTTCCTCCCTCTGAATTTGTGTCCTTGCCTCTGGACAGATAGAGATTCTTCCTTGTCTATGCCATGACTGAATAAGTTAACGAATCAGAAATAAATCCTAACCAAATGCAATAGAAGTATGAGGATGAGATGTAAGGAGGACAAAATGCCGAGAAGATACGCATTGATAATGAATAGACTATAATGAATAGAAAGGATTGTACTCCTTCCAAACCTTTCTCCAAAATACAATCAACTGATGAAGAGATTTTGAAGTATGAGAGAGTTGGGTTAACATTTAATTTTTTTTTTCTTCTCTATTTTATATTCTGTGCCAGATTTATGCATAAACTGAAGCCAAAGGGCTGTAATAAGGTGATGGGATTTTTTTACCACTGCATTCGTACATCAAACCTTATTTGTATGATTTAAGGACTGTTTTTAGTCTTTACTCAGGTGCTGACTGCACATTTGGATTCTTGTTTAAAAAGCTCCACACCAGTAATAAATCCTTGCTTCTAATGGTACCCTCTGTAACTGAACTCTCTCAGGAACTTCTCTAAAAATTTACTTTAGAAACAAAAATTTTGGTTGCAGATCATTTTGTCCAACCTGCTTCTTGAAGCAAGACCATTGCCTGCACCAGCTTAGGCCAGCTGTGACTTTGCCTAGCTTTCCTGAAAGTCTCTCAGGATGGAGAACACACGGCCGCTCTGGGTACCTGTTTCCTGGGTACCTCCTACAATCCAGCCCAAACCTTCCAAGCTGTAGCTTGCAGCAGTTAGTTGCCTTTTGATTTAACATTCACTGCTCCTGAGAAGACCTTGGTTATACCCTGCTTGTAATGCTCCTTCACAATGAGATTAGGAGATGCTCAGCCTTTGTTCGTGTTATAAATTATAGTGGAATAGCCATTTCCCTATAGCAATGGTCTTCAAAATTTTGCTTGTAAAAGCTGGATCTAAAAAATAGTATTTTTTTAAACAGCATATCTGATCACTCATTAAGTCTTACATGTTAAAATTTCACTCGGGAAGTCCTAATAGAAGTAAAAGTAGGTAGTTTTTTGTAAAAGGTAGCAATGAAAATGACCTAAAATTCCATGACCAGAAAATCTGCAGAATAAATTGTCATAAAAAATAATTATGATCTACATTAATTCTTGAACTGCAGTTTGGGTGTGCAAGATGAAAATTAGTGAGTGAGAATACCTAGTATCGTGAGTGGAGGGAGGTGGTTAATTGCCGTTACTAATGAACACTTATGAGATTTCCCAAACTTTAGCTTTGTTTAATGCTGTAATGTAAAAAGTTATCTGATTTGTGGAGCGAAGTGGTACTTTTAATCAGACTCAGTCATATGGACAGGATTTTGGCCTCGTAAGTTCTTCCTGAGCTCATGAATAAACTTACTCTTTAAGGAGACATTATGCCGATATAAGAAAAATGGGAGAAGCATGTTGGAACATTGCTGATTGCAAGACCAGGTAGAAAAAGGTACAAAATGTTAGGATGGGAGAAATGCAAAGAATTGGGACTATTTCAGTTAAAGGAACAACAACAAAACAAAACAAAAAAAATGAAGAAACAAAGTAACACAAACAGAACACACGCACACACACACAAAGAAATCAAAATGTAGTTTTAAACAAATCTTTTCCTCAAGTTAAAAGTTTGGTTGGGTCAATCTCGTATGTTCCACCACACTAATGCCTTGATGATGAGTTTAATAAATTGGTGTTTTGGGGGGAATATAGTATTTAATTATTTATCCATTTTATGTGGGACACTGAGAACTACGCTTTTGTGAACACACATACAGTACACGAGCACAGAGTAGGAAGTCATATGCTAGTTAGTGAACTGATGAAATTAAATTGGTGGGGAATGATCCAGGGGAAAGAAAAGCTGATGCTGGCACCAGATTAAAGCTGTGAATATCTCCCCCTTGGTGGTGTTCACACAGGAATCAAGGGAAGTGTGTAGAGGGCATGGTGGAAATCTTTGACATGCTGCTGGCTACTGCTGCTCGCTTTCGCATGATGAACCTTCAAGGGGAGGAATTTGTGTGCCTTATCTGCTGAATTCTGGTAAGTGGTGTGCTCTGCTGTCACTCAGGTAATTGCGGTTGTTTCTGCGTGTGGCTGAAAGCTGCTTGTTATCGCTAATGATGTTTTCATTTTGGGACAGCAGCGATGGAAAGGGGGCTGTCAACACAGATGCAGACAGAACCAGCAGGCAGGGATGGAAGGGGGCAAACCTGTTTGGAGGCGTAGGTGGGACCCAGCGGATACATGCACTAAGTCGTTGATAGACTGCGTACGGCTGATGTGAAGGGTGGTCAGAGCAGTGTTTTGAACCAGGTGCTGGCAGGTCTTAGAGATCGGATTAAAACACACTCAAGTAGCTGGAACCACACTTAGGGCATCCAAAGGCAATGCTTAGTTGTAAGTCTACACCTTCCTTTTTTGGCAATGGCAAAATAAAGGGAAATAATGGCAAAAATATGGCCAAGTTTATCATGGTTTAGTTTATATTAAAATACAGGCATCTAAAACTAATGTCATCACCTTCCACTTCCTTTATAGTTGATAAGTATTTGGGGACTGTAAATCTCATTCTGAAGTACACTTCAAAAATAGGTGTCTAGATGACATGTGTATGTAGAGGTATAAATGTGGAAGGTTAGCTGACTTGAATTCTGCATGAGACGATTGAAATAAGCAAATTCAAGTTGAAGCATGTGACAGAAAATTTCTGTTGCACATCAGAGGATCCTTTTCTGTTTGAAATGAGTAAAGACTCCAAACAATTTATATTTAAATGCAGAAATGAGGCCCACGGTGTTCTCATGGAAATGACAGAGACCCAAAATAATAATAATAATGTAGGTACCAAAGTCAAAATTTTAGACTCAATTCTCTGCTAAGTTGTTACCTAATGACTAAAAATGCCAGTTTCCCAGCCGTGAAGATTTACCCACTTGTTCTCCCTTCTTCCTGTTGGGTTTGAACTCGTAGATGGTATCAACCTCTAGACAAAGCGCATGTGAAGGGCTATACGTCCTTTTTATCCAGTGCTCTTACACACAACTTGCCGAACTTTCATGAAATACAAATTCAGGTAATTCCCACCAAAGGCTGACTCTAAACACAGCAGACTTTGCTTCATTGATCAGACACTTCTTCCTTTATGGAAACTTGGACCTGGTCTACTCAAAAAAAAAAAAAAAAAAAAGTTCAAGCAAAATTATGTATCTGTACAATCAAATATAAAATATTTCATTTATGTTCTATGAGATATTAATGTGGTTGAGGTTTTGTTGTGATTGTCATCAATTACCAAAAAATGACATTTGAGGCAAGCACCTGTCATATTAGGAATGAAGGGCTATTGGTTTTATCTTGGAGGGCAGGTTGTGACAGTTGTAATTAGTTTGAGATTTTATTTTCCTTTTATTGTCCTGATAATTATAACCTAGAGTTAAATGTTCTTCCTGAAAAGTGATGCTCCTCCAGATTTTTAGCTAACTTGTTCAAATGTAATTATCCTCTTCAATAAATCTAGAATATGTAATTAATTGATTTATAGAAATATTAAATTAGAATTAGAAAAAAAAATAGAATCGGAAGTTTGAATAAAACGTTAGATGTTCAGGTCTTGAACGTGAAGACTTCAAGCCATGCTCTTGAGAGACTTTGTGCCACTGCTGTATTTAATATTGATCCAGAAAACTAAATTTGGGGTTTAGGCAAAGTTCTACCAAACGTCACTTCATAAGCACATCTCACTTTGTTAGTGGTTTTTTTGTTTGTTTCGCGATTCCCCTAAGGAAAAATTGTAATTAAAAGGCAAGTCAGTGATAATCAGAGGCAAATTTCCTTCTACACGTAAGAGAGATGGGACCAGTGAGTGAGGTGAGGAGATGTTACGTCTTCATTCCTGCAAGGTTCGTGCTCAGCAGGTTCGAAGCGGTGGTGCTCTGTGTGGTAGAAGGTCGGAGTTGACCTGAGGAGTGATCTGGTTTTGGGTGTGGGTGTTTTTTTACATTAAATGAAAGTTTATAGCTGCTCAGAAGTCTGGCATTTCTACAAGAGTCTTGATGGTGACAGATCAGAGGGCATGGTTTGGGTTGAGCTGTTACAGGTTCACAGGTTCACGACGAAAGCAATTAATAGCGTTGTTACACAGAGAGCCATGTATCACTCTGGCTTGCACACTGCCCTTATTGCAGTGTATCTGGTTGTTACACAGAGAGCCATGTATCACTCTGCCCACTTGCACACTGCCCTTATTGCAGCGTATCTGAGTACACTGTAAACTGAATGTGTGTCTGTATTGCTTGTAATTGCCTTTACGCATAAAGGTAATTAATTTTACATTTTGGTGTTTGCATTCCTATAACCAACTAATTTTGTAACTGTCTGAGGAGTTAACTGCTTAGGTGGTGGGAACGTGGACACAAGTTTCTGACTGTCAGACCCTTTAGATGCCCAAATTAGGATGCTAGACTGCATTACAGAGATAAGTAGCATAATTTGGGGGATGTGTAATAGTTGTCTAAGTGTTGTTTGGCACAGACACTCTAAAATGTCTTCTGGAGATGCTTTTCTTCAGAGAATATAGCCAGCCTCCTTAGGTAAAGTGTTGGACACACATGAAATATTATTTGCTCTGAAGGACGCGGCGTACTGATGTGTGAGGAGAGGTGGAGAGCTGGGTTTGTTCACCCTGGGAAAGGGAAGGCTGAGGGAGGGTCTGGCTGCAGCCCTCAGACAGCTGATGAACAGGTCACGGAGAAGCCAGGGCTGGACTCTCCTCGGAGGTGCGAGAGGAAAGGACAAGCTGCAGCGGAGACAAACCACAGCAAGGGAGATCCTGACTAGATGACGAGAACACAAAAATCTTCCCAGGGGGAGGTTAAGCGCTGGAACAGCTTGTGGAGAAAGACAGTAGGATCTGCATCCTCCGAGATACTGGGAACCCAGATGGACAAAGCTCTGGGCAGCTTGACCTAACCCTGAAGTTACTGCTCTTTGAGCAGGAGGTTGAACTAGATGGGCTCCAAGCCTCCCTTAACCTGATTTTTTTTTTTTTTTTTCTATGATTGCACATGTAAATGTGCACAAATCTTCTACTAAAGAAACAGCAGATAAACACACAATGAATTTCTGGCCCTTATGCTATCTGTATTATATATGCATACAATTCAACCAGCTGATCTCAAAATGATTTTAACAGGTGGACTAATCAAAAAATTGGACCAATTATGCTACATTTCATATTTAAAAGCAGTCTGCATTTACATTCTAAAGCTTTGTGTGGGTTTAATTCACTGAGTGTACACAAACATTTCTTCATTAAATCCTTGGACATCTGTTAGTCTCTTCACATGAGACAGTGCTGTTTATTGCTTTCGTTGGACATTTATTTTCTCTTTTTTTTTGCAACATCTTTCAAAGCTGTTTAATATCTTTACACTCCCTTTGCATGTGGTCTTGGGCAAAATGCAAGCGAATCGTTTTAGTTTCACTCAATGTGCGTGGAAAAGATGGAAGGTCTTGTTTATAAAGTAAAATATACGTTTATGCGACTTCCAAATTTCTCCTGAGATATCAAGGCAACCACATGTCTGTAACAACGACAGCATTGTCTCTAGCTAAATGTCAAACCAGAAGGTGCCCCTCTAAAGCTGCAGCAATAAATCTTTCAACTAAAAAGCAAAAACTGTATTTTCGAAAAACACATTCGGCTCAATAATAAGGGTTTGTTCTTTAACACTGGAAAATAAGTATTAGAAACATGAAAGGGCAACATGATGCCAGATGTTTTACTTTTGAGTGTATCTGAAAAGAGGAGTGATGCTAAGTGGCAAAGCAACAGGTTTTCATTTTGGAGACGAAGATGTAGGTCATGTCTGCCTTAGCAGCTGATTTACCTAATTAGTTAGCTGGTTAGCCCATAAAGATGGAAAGATTTAGCTGATTTTATGCATCCTGTAGACCTCCTGGTACATCATTCCATGGGACTGTTTGTTATTCTTTTCTCTCGATTTTTCCAGGTCCTATTAAATTGTGCTTTTTATTTATTTCTTTGTGTTGGGGGGGCTGGATGATTACACGAGCACATGGTCCAGAGCTCAGTTTGCTCACAGCTTACCCTGGCTTGCTACAGACCCGGAGCAGTGGGGCACGGCAGGAGAGGAAGAAGGACCTTGGGTATTGTTTTATGAGCCTGAACTCTAAATGCAAAGATATTTTAAACTGGGGTTTATTGTGACAGAAAAGATGCAGAGGGTGTTCTCCTCGACAGTAATATGCAAAAACGTATCAGCATATATAGCGACACATTTAAAATGGTATCGCTGTGTGCCAGCAGCTGGCACGGCAGCGCTGCAGTCCCCGCGGGACCCTGTTCGGTGCATGGCTTTGTGTGACGGGCACGGACCAACAGGCTTCACCTGTCTGCGGGGTGATGCCTTCCCTGTTCTCGCTCCTATTATGTTTTACAATACTGACCTACAGAAAGAGCTGGAAAACAACCTGGTAGCCAATTTAGGCTTGCTTTCATCTTCAGATCTTGGAAAGACCTTTGAGACTGTTAAATTTCCATTTGCTAAGACAATTTTCTTCACTCTTGTTCCAAAACTCTGCTTGTGTGTGTATGTGTGTGATGGATAGCTGGCATTTCTTTGGGGGAAATTTCTGGTCGTTGGCCTGGGGCAGGAGCAATCATCGGGGGAGCCGGAAAGGAAAACCAAATGTCATTTTTCTTGGCAGTTATTGACTGGCAATTGCCTGAAGTCTTTACCTTTTTGGAGGAGTGTTTTTTCTGATTTATACTTTTTAATAGCTTCTGGACTAGACCTAGGTGAGAAACAATTCCTCCTAACAGATTTTTTTCTTTTGCTGGTTTCAAAGTTATGAAATTAAGGGGTATTGCTACAAGGGCACAATAGCATCATCTGGCTGAAGTAAGCTGCTCCGGAGGCACTGTGGGTTTAGGAGACTAATGCTTCCTCCTAAGGGACTGTGTTTTGTCAGTAATGTTTAAGGATCTTGCCCCTACAGGTGCCTGCTAAGCTATAAAGCCTGGTATTGTCAGTAGGCATATGTGGGGGTGGTTAGGAGTCATTCAGCTGAGAAAAGCCCCAGGAGCTGTTTCTCTTTGCTGAATTCATTTCTGTAAAAATAATAATAATCATTAAAAAGCTTTGTGAGAAAAGAAGGCATTGTACTATCTATTTATATCAAATTCAAAACAATATTCATTACCAAAATTAAGAGCTCTGACTGACAGTTTTCAGAAGTTGTGCTGTGTTTGAGTTTTATCCTTTTGGTTTTTTAAAGCAATCTCTCTCTCTTGCCCTCTGAGACAATTGCACTGACATTCACAAACAGAAATTTATATTTCGTTTTAGTACAGAAGACCCAAAGTCGTAAAACCTACTTGCAGGTTACAGTAGTTCTTGGTGCCAGGTCCTTGAAGTACCAAGATGATGTGAGGAGGTGAGGTATACCAAGAATATGGTAAAAAAAAATAATCTCATTTTCCCTGACTGATCAGATGCATGGCAAAATATTCTGATCTTCAAATCTGATGGTATAGCTCTCAGGCTACAAGCAAGCTAGAGTATATATGACTCTGTATGTGTGCATGTTAGTGTGTGTTTGTTTGTCCTTAGTATCACTAACTGCACTGCATGTTGTGCTGTATATGATGCTTTAAAGAAAAGCAAAATGAAATGTAATATCAGAAACCAGTTTTTTCCAAGGACAAAATCCAAATTTCTCCTTGGCTCTGTGAGCTGATGCAGAAGGACTCAAGCACAGGATTTGTCAAGTACGTTATAGACACAGGGCAATGAGCACACCATGATCAAGCCAGTTTGATTGTATTACCGTACGTACATCTTAAGCTTTTGTTGCCTAAGGACTGGATTATAGAAACCCAGCTTGTTTAGAGTTACTGGCTCGATCCAGAAGATTAAAAAACTGGTGTCGAATGCAACGGCTGCCTTTTGGCATTTGTCAGTGCTGTTGTGACCTGAATCACCTTGGCTGCGTGTTGTCATCCGGAACAAATTCAAGATAAAAATGTGCAAAATAGTTCAGAATTTCCCATTTAGAAAGCTGATGTACTTCATGCACCCAAGAATTATTACTGGCAAAAGCTCTTATACCTGGGTTAGAGAGTTTCATAGGAGATGCAGAGGGGCTGTTGGAGGGGGAGCTGCAAGGTATTTTGATCTCTGGAAAAACTTCCTTCTGGTCCAAATCTTCAGGCTGCTCACTTTCAGCAGTAAGCAATGTAAGATGGTTAAATTTATGCAGGTTGCTTTCGATGTGGTTTTTAAAGGAGAGTCCGGTTTGCAGGTGAAGGATCACATCTTTCAAGGCTCTTGCTTAGCTGGGAGCAGTTTGTTGAGGCAAGTGTGCATAAACACACCCTGATTTTGTTTACGTGTTTTGTGGTAACATATTATTCATTTCTAGACTGACTAACAAATCACCAAAACCCAAACATTAAACAGAGGAGAAAATAACGAAGGCCTGGGGTGGTCAGTAAGTACTGCAGAGCTCTCAAGGGACAACGACATCTCCGCCAGGTTTTGGAGCTGAGTGCCTGAGAGACGAGGGCAGCTCGTTGGTGGGTCTGGCTGCAGGGGTTGCCCACCACTGGACCCAGATCTTGGGTGGACCTGGGCGGGGAAGCGGCATCATCTTCCTCCCTCTGCTTTGCCCACAGTGACCAGATCCAAGCTCCAGGGTCCTTCACACCGGTGACCTGGCTGGCAAGCAGGGGGGCTTGCACCCAGTCAGCTCCCGTGGTTTACAACAGCCGAGGTGTACCTTGGGCAAGTCTGACTCCATCAAAGTAATTTTTGTCTGTGGTTTGTTTGTTTTCTTTCTCCTTCCTACTCCAGGTGTGTACACTTTTCTTTCCAGCACCTTGAAATCTCTGGAAGAGAGAGACTATATTCACCGTGTTCTGGACAAAATCACAGACACTCTGATACACTTAATGGCTAAGTCGGGTCTTTCTCTGCAGCAGCAACACAGACGACTGGCTCAGCTCCTCCTCATCCTTTCTCACATCAGACACATGAGGTGAGAGCAAGCACGCAGCCCTCCTGCGTGGGTCCCGTGCAAGGAAGGCTTCACAAACACGCACAGCCCCCCGCCCCCCCTCCTTCACAGGTGGCAGCGCAAACTGTGTGCAGAGCTCTTACCAAAAAAAAAAAAAAAGACAGTCTACTTTCCATAAAGATGTATGGAACATGTGTGCAAAACAGTACTTTGGATTACTGTGTGAAAGGAGTAAACATTTTTTCCCATTTGTTTCTTCTAGTTTTCTTTTCTGTCGCTTCTTGTTTTGATAGCGCTGTAAGCAGCATCTGCTTTTACTATGTGCATCTTGTAGTCCCTTTGAAAAGTGCCAAGTAGAATACTAAAGTAGCAGTAACCTTGTTCTGCAAACTTTAGTCTCCCGTAGGATAAGATTTAACAAAACCGTCACTTTTATGTAGCCACTTTTCACAAGTGGCTTGATTGCAACTCACTTTAGAAAAGAGATTAGGATCATCGTGTATTTCATGGATGAGGATAAAGGCAGATCTACTGAATCCCAATCTAGAGGGCTGTGCCAGTTGCTTGCTTTTACTTATGTCTTTTTGTGGAGTTTCTTTGTCTTCATGTTAATCATCCTTTTTTTTTTTTTTCTTAAGAAAAATGTGTCCAATTAAGGAAGTTCCACATGCACAGTGAAGTTAATCACTGTTTCCATAGTTTTGTGAATGGATACTATTACAAGTGAGCATTTGTTAACAAATTGGCTGAGGTTATTTCCTAGGAAAAAATCTGGTATTTTAGGTTTTTTTATGGAAAAGCCAAGATTCATCCCATCCACTTAGTCACAGTGCCTAAATTAGGAGTCCATGTGCCCTAGGGTACCTTTTAGGCAAAGGAGAGCAAAAGAGCCACCTTTAGAAGGCAGCTTGCTCACGGGCAGTCTGAAATGTTCTCTGAAGGTGCCTTCATTTGCTAACTAACTATAGCAGAGGTGTACAGCAACAGCACTGTTAAGTCAGTAGTTTTGTACAAGGTGGAAGTTATATGAACTTAACAAGTAGTATTAGCTGATAGCTTCCCCCTCCCCAGCATATTTGGAAAGTAACTGTTGTTTTGTTACAACCCACAGCAACAAAGGAATGGAGCACCTGTACAATATGAAGTGTAAGAACGTAGTTCCACTCTATGATCTCTTGCTGGAGATGCTGGACGCTCACCGGCTGCACGCCCCGGCTGCCAGGAGTGCTGCACCCATGGAAGAGGAGAGCCGGAGCCAGCTGACAACTGCGTCAGCGTCATCTCATTCCTTGCAGTCTTTTTATATAAACAGCAAAGAAGAGGAGAATATGCAGAATACAATATAAACAAAAGTCAGCATTTATAATGGTATGAGAAACCCAGCAGCATACTACCTAGCTCATGCTTCATTTCATCTATAGTGCCGCCGATGTAAACACTCCGATGACAACAGTCACCTGCATTTTCCATTTGAGTGTTTGTCAAGCGCTTGCCTAAATCGATTGCTTATCCTAAATGGAAGACATTTCATTGCTATGGACAGCCAGCAAGGATTGTCAGGCTAACTTGATTTAAAATTTGCAGTGTTTCTATTTAATTTTGCACGTAGGTTGGGTAAATCCTAATCTAAACCAAACATTCATTTTACTATAAATTAATAGGCAATACTACTCATGCATGTTGGCATCTTCATGAGTGGTAGCCTTGGCTGATATCCACCTCAAATTCTGAGCTCGCTTAATACTTTACTTTCTTGAAACTTTGAAGCAGTTTGCTAGAGATTCTGGATTACTTGTTTGGGGGAGTGTAAATGGAAAGTTGATCGGCATCTTAGCATGCCATAGCGAAACTGCATTGCTAGTGGCTGCCTTGGTAGATTCCTGCCTCTCTTCTTCCTACAGTAGAAAGGAACCCCTGTCTGAGAATAATACTGTTTTACCTTGCAGGCTTACATCGGCAGACAACTCCCTCTCAAGATCATACTGACCAAACTTTTAGGCCCCCTTACCACATCCTCTAGCCAAATCGCATTGCGTGCACTCTATCTTATCTGATCCTACGAAGATAAATTGTTCTGTTGCTTGGCAGTGTGTAAATCAAAGGCAACATGGAAACAGTGATAACATAGATAATTACTCTTAAATCAGACCAGATGATTACAAAAATTATCAGGTCTTTAAAAAAAAAAAGTTTTCACAGACATATATGATGCAGCACTATTCTAAAAAAAACCCTCCCCCTGTCCTTTGCTCTGTTTTGTGGCAAACCAAGGGGTGAGGCTGGCGGTGCAAGGCTGGCACAGCAGGCTGGGGTGGCCCCATCCCACTCAGCAGAGCATGGCCCGGCCGTGTGCGGGGGCGCTGGCAGAGCGGCAGGCTTGGCAGAGCCTTGGCTTGCGTTGGCTCTCGTTGGGGCGTGCTCAGAAACCACTGTTGAGAGCCAGCTGTGACACCAGAACCGGGCAATGAGCCTCAGACCTGGAGAAGACTCTAGGACTGCGTGTCCAGGAAGATAAATCTGGCTTTCTCCATCTGTGTGTGTAACTAACTGTTTTTCATAAGGATTAGTCAGATTCTTCAGACCAACTGTAAATATATAAACAGTCCACTGGCATCAAGAGTTTCAGCAAGACACGAAGGAAAGAGACTGAAGAAATCCATACTACATGCTATTGAAAGTAGGAGTCGGTGCTGCTGTTTGACTGCCTCTATGCTAGAAAAATTAAATGTGTCTGTCAGGAAACGTTGCTGGGTACTGGAATGCAATTATTACATATGCCAGGGATATTTTATTAGTCTAATGATAAATTTTGCCTGTGCAATCTGCAGTTCTGGTTTACAGGTGCAGTTTGGGAGCTAGCACAGACCAGGGACTATTCCAATAGCTGGCTGGAAGCAACCACCCTGCCAGTAAGGACGTTTCCTAGCACATGCACGGGCTGCTGCATGGTAGCTGGACACAATGCTACAGAAGGGTTCAGGGATGCTTCTTCTACTGCTATAGTTGAAACCTGTATGTTAGATGATTGTATTGATTGGAATAGCCTCTAGTAACTGAATATAGGAAATAGTGCAACTAATGCCGTACAGGAGTGCCTATGTCTAACGACGCTCCCCATTCCACAAGCAGAGCCTGTGTGCAGTGAGATCGAGCTACACAGCAATTGTGAAGGCAGCAAGGCATAGGACGAGTTTGTGCTCCAAGTCAAGGATTCAGTTCTTTAGTGAATGTACATAATGATGTCTGTAACAGTTTCATGTACATATCCGAGGACATGCAGAGTTTAAAATTCTAAAGCTAGACGCTACTTACGTTTGAGAAGATTCCTCGAAAACTGTGCAAGCCTAAACATGTGAAGCAGACACTGTAATTAACAGGCCTTTTATTGATGCATATTAGTGTCATTTTTTTTTTCTGAATGTGCTGAAGGATTTGTCTTTTTTTGTATTCAGTAAGCGTGTGTGCGTGTGTGTGTGCGTAAATTTGGTACCTAAGGGCTTTTGGAGGGCTCCTAAATGCCTTGAAAGAAAATGCACATTTTGTTTTGTTTAGTAGCTGGTTTTCAAATATGTTAGAAAAATCATGAATGCCCTGAAATGAGTGCAGGCTAAGATCTGAATGGAGCACAGGAATCCCTGTAGTTATGCTTATGTGCTTACACCATCATCATTCACTTGTAGCCCAGTGTGCATTAGAGCTGCTCTTTAAACACTGTACGGGCAACTTGGTGTTCTCTACAACAGAACACACAGATCAAGCTCATAATGCCTCCCTTCCTACATCCCAGAACAGTCCATTACATCGATTCAAGTGTAAATTTGGCCTAGAGGAAAAAAAGAGTTCATGGAGAGCAATTCACAACAGAGGGTCAGATTCTGATGGTACTTACAGAGGGCAAGACACCACTACACTCTGCAGATCTTCCCGGTGAAGCTGGATAAACGTGACGTGAGGTGGTATGCAGCAGACAGAAGGGTATCATAACGTGACTTGGCACATAAGGAATAACCAGTCAGCTCACAATCTCAATTATGAACACTTTCCTAGGCTCAGCTCTTGCAAGGAAGGCCTTAGATTCAACCAGTCGTCCCATGTTTGTGGTGACAACCGTGAAGGGCACCCAAGAAAGAAAAACAGTGAGTCTCAGTAATACATTCATTTACCTTGGGGCAGTTTCAGAATCCGTGCCATTAACTTGTTCATGAGATTTTAACTGAAGCAGCACCTTAATGAATATAGTAAACTTCCCATAGTTATCTGTAAAGATGATTGTCCACATATCAGACAGCTGAATGTAGCTATTCAATTGATTAAACAAATTCTATGATACAAAAATGGCAACTTTTTTCATATGTACTTCTGAATTATGCTCTCACGTATGCAAACAATCGTGCCTGACATTTGGTAATTGTTATTTCACAAGATGCTATTTTATGTGTGTGTGTATATATATGTCTATATATACATATATATTTGCAGCTGACAAACCAGTACTACCTGAATACCTGGTGCTGGATATTAAATAAAAATATATAGTGTGTAAAAAAAAAAAAAAAAAAAAATTGAAAGAAAACTATTCAAGGCAGCTAATTATGCTTTTACCAAAACATAGTGATGTCTCTGGACAGCTAATGAAAGAATTATTTTATAATGTTTATACATGGATTTTTTTTTTTTAAAAAAAACCAAACATCCAAAAACCAAAAACACCCCTAGAAACATAGGCAATGTAATACCAGCACAAGCCAAACAGAAAGAGACCAGATGAACTTGCTTTGCTTGAGAATATGGTTGTTACTGAATTACTACAAAAAGCTTGGGAGGAGATGAGGGATGTGTAGCACGCACGCAGTTAGTGCCTCCGAGTTTCCGACAGTATGTGAAGGCTTCTCTGGTTTGTAGTGGTTCGAGCCGTGTCTCAATGTTGCAGACTTTGTCTCAGGTAAAACTCCCAGTTGGGGTAAAATAATTTAATGAGAGTTTCTTGGTGTGCATTTGTAGTATATCTATTATGTTTCAGTACCATCCCTTGATGATTTTTCTCCTCCTGTACATTGAGGGGTTTAATAATTTAAAAATATAATTAAAGAAATAATTGGAACAGAGCTCCCAAGGGTATCGCAAGGACTGTCAGCAGGTCACTGGACTTTAAATAGAAAAAAAAGAAGAAACAAAAGAAAACCCAAATCACCCCCTTCGTCCAAGCCAGGGTTTGTAGTGGAGCCTCCATCCGTTCCAATTGATGCTGATTGATTCCTTAAGAGTTGTGCCAAATGTTTAAAATGAAACAAACTACCAGCAAAGTAAAAATTCTGCCTCACTAGGGCCTTAGTCTTATCACAGGCTTTGGTAGGAACACAGCAAGCCTCTCTTGTGTATATAATACCCTGCTTTAAAATTAGAATGCAACCCGACTTGAAGCTAAAGGGATTCTGTATATAAGGTATTCTCAGCTGAACTTATGTGAAGTGCATTTCTCACTTTGAATGAAGAGATGGCTATTTTCAATGCTATCTACAACTGTAATATAGAGATGTGAATGACCGTATTGTAAAACAAAACAAACCAGTCCTTGCTGTCACCTGCAACTATAGCATAATCTCAAATTGATTTGAGAATTTTAAATTAATATTTGCCTAATATTAATGTCCTACCCTTTCTACTTGCTATTCCTTTTCATCTTTCAAATGTAGATAGCCTTATGTCCTGAAAGTTGTTTTCGAAGTGATTGTTGCCCATAAGGGTATTTGGTTTTAAAAAAAAAAAAAAAAAAAAAAGTTTGCATTCAAATGTGCCTACAGAAACAAACAAAAAAAATTTAAAAAAATGTATATGCTGCCATCTTGCAAATTAGTATGCTGTGTACTCCTGTGTGCCTATAATTAGAAGTCTGTTTCTTCAGAAAGTGCCCATTGGAAAATGAAGGGATAGACTGCTGGTCACGAGACTCGCATTAACAAGCCACTTTATGTATCATCTTATTGTATACACTATACAACTAATGCTTTTGTGTGCACTATGTAGTCTGTCAATGGCAAGTCCTTTCTTTGGTGTAGACGCAGCTGCCATATGTATTTGTTGAAGTATTCTGTTCTTTCGCTGATGCATATAAAATTACCGATGTCTTTGTTTTGGTGAGGTTTTTCTTTTTCTTTGTTTTGCACCAAAACAAGCTCTAAAAAAGTCTAAATGAAAAGTCCAGTAGGCTACCTGATTGGTGAAAGATTTTTATCAATGTATTTGATGTTGAAAATAAAGAATTAACCAGAGCACTTTGTTTTGTCAGTTATCTTTGGCATAGTTTTGAAAACATGTTTCCCCTTCTCCGCTTATTGTTTTCCAGTCG